CATTTAGGTATAGAAAAAATTATTTGTTTGATAAAAAATTCATATTCGACAATTCTACTTCTCCTGGTAAAATATCGTATAAACTCCAACACTCGCAGCGTTGTATTTTTTCACATATTTCTATATACTGATAGTTTTATTTAAGCCTGAGCCAAATCTTCATTGAAGTAAATTAGAAAACGCGCTCTAATGTTACGGTATCTATATTTATGCATACAACACTTTATCTACGAACAGTAATTTTTCCGCACACTATGATAACAGATCGTGTTGACCGCATATTCCCGAAAACAACATCAATGAAAACCTCCCATAGGCATAGTTTTCGTCCAAGATTCGATTACTAGGCCTGCATATCCAAATTCCCGTTGATCAATAAAAAAATCCAGCACGCATATCTCAGACGCGACCTCACTGGGCCGAACAGACGCGTGCTGGACGCAATTTTCCGTATCATTTACGCGATCCCTGAGCGTGACACCCTGCGCGCTACGCATCCCTAGGGCGCCGTAACTCGAACGCAACTCGTGGGGCGCGATGAGCGGCTCGTTATAACCGCTATGTCGTAATGATAACAACTCGTGGGGCGCGATGAGCGGCTCATTATAACCGCCGTGTCGTAATGATAACAACACGGGCGTGAAGCGAGACTTAAAGAATTGCCCGAGCGTAATGACGGGAGAGGGTGACTTGCTTGTGGCTAATGGTAGTGATGTGTGGACGATCATATTTATATATAATGGTAGTGACGTGTAGACGATCATGTGGAGAGCTAATGGTAGTGACGTGTAGACGATCATGTGTCGAGCTAATGGTAGTAACGTGTTGACGATCATATTTATAGATAATGGTAGTGACGTGTAGACGATCATATGGCGGGCTAATGGTGATGACGTGTAGACGATCATGTGGCGGGCTAATGGTATAGTGACGTGTAGACGATCATATTTATATATAATGGTAGTGACGTGTAGACGATCAAGTGGCGAGCTAATGGTAGTGATGTGTAGACGATCATGTTGCGAGCTAATGGTAGTGACGTGTAGACGATCATGTGGCGAGCTAATGGTAGTGAAGAGAGCTAATGGTAGTGACGTGTAGACGATCATGTGGAGAGCTAATGGTAGTGATGTGTAGACGATCATGTGGAGAGCTAATGGTAGTGACGTGTTGATAATCATATTTATAGATAATGGTAGTGACGTGTAGACGATCATGTGGCGAGCTAAAGCTAGTGATGTGTGGGCAATCATATTTATAGCTAATGGATGTGATGTATAGTCTATGGCGCGCAGACTGCAGCGATGGTATATGGAATGATTTAGAGTTGATAACGCGTGTGATAATCTCGACCGTCGTAATCATTCGACGCAATCATTCAACGACCAGCCGTCATGAATTGACACTGACTTACCCATGAAAAACCCATCCCGCATCCACATTTTGAATTATAAAATTATGACTGTCACTTAAATGACCAAATGCATGTAATTAATTAAACTATTCTAATTGCTCATCTCGCATCAATTTTTATTTCACGTCTCTTTTTATTTTTCATTGTAACGTGTGCTACTGTGTGAATAAATAAATAAATCAAAAATAAATCAAATGCTCGAAGTATACAGAGTAGCAGGTGATTTATGAAACGTTATAATGTCCCTTACGATCGAGTGTCTAACAAGGCAGTTAAGGCAGACCCTCGCTCGTTAGCGCTGCTCGGTCACACGACACCACAACTCAGTAACAAATTCCAGCGATCAATAACTGGCTGCGCGATTGTCCTCGTATGATCTCCCTTAATTGGAGAATGACTAGGCGGATCCTGCTAATTTGGGTCGGCAGCAGCTGGTCTCGATGAAAATTTAGAATGCATTTTACGAGCATTCAGGAGCCACCCAATTAATGTGTTATAAAGATTTGTAATTTATGATATGGTAATAATTAAGGCTGACGTGCCCTTTGGGAGAAAACCCTTGTAATTTTAGAATAGCGTTGCTAGTGACGCACTCCCAATCCCTAACAGCGTTATCCTAAACTCCGTCATCCCAAATCCAGTTACCCAGATACCCATCATCTTGAATCGAACTATCAATTTTGAAACTAAACTAAATAATTTGAGAAAAGCTCATTCAAACCCACATCCAGCACGGACTCCCATCAAAGTCCTACTTTCAATTCAAAGGAAGCTCAAAGTTTTTATTTTTTAATAAAATTTGCATTGACCAGAATAAAAACCAGATATTATTTTAGATTAAACTCTCCTCTGCATTCCTCATATCACAGGATTACTGCATTAAAATAATCCCAGCTAACATCGCGACATGGTAAGTATCGTGGATACCCGCTTGGTCAGCCCCTTTAATTATATTTGCAGTTTACGACTTGAACAATCAAACGTTGGCAAATGTATAATAATTCAGAATTTACATGTAACTTTTATATATATTATGTCGAGAAGAATATCTTTATTTAATATAATATACGCACAAAGTGCCTTCCATGCAGTATATAAAATTTGATGAATATTAAGGAGACTTAAGAACGTTACGTACCTAAAACTTAAGATGATATTTTTTCAAATGGCATTTGGAACACCAAAAATGATAGATGTCACCCATATAACAGAACACCCATTTTACTGCTTTGCATGCACACTTGACTAATCGATTGGTGGCATACGGAGCAAATTTGTAAGCGTTTAGGGTAACTTTGTTGAGTGTTTGACATCAATGTTCGAGCATTTGCGCGCTCGATTGAAGTGCGGCATGTGGAGTGAGTGAGTGTGGACTCAGCCGAGGAGTTTCAATTGAAGAACTTAGTGCGCCTGTGCTGCGATATAGAGCCCTGGCCAGTTATTACCATCAACGCACCAGGCAAACGACATTGAAACAACGTTTAATCAGCGTTAATTCAACCAAATATAACGTTTTATTTCAATGTTGGTTCAACGTCGTTTGCCTGGTGAGAACACACAAACTTTCCACCGTGGCAATTTTCGAAATTGCTTTGATCGCATAAAAATCATGCATGGATTTTCGCACCGCTTGTCAAATGCAACATTATATTTTCCGTCTTTCAGAGGCATATGTCAATGATAAATTACTGTGAGAAATTACTTAGCATGAAATTTGAGGGACGCTTAATATGTTCGTAATAATTGCGTACTTTTCCCTTGCGTTTTGTCAACAATGTATATTCATAATCTTTCTATCATCAGAAGCATGCATACTCGTTACAGCCGTATTATCACTTAACTTCATATCTTCGTTCAGATAACGTTTCCAAATTTTACGGAACATATGCGTAATAAGATTTACTGTTCCATTAAGAAAAATTCTACCTCATGTAAATTTTCAAGCTGAACTTTGCCCGCTCGTGTTGCCTTTGCCCGCTTTTATCAACAACACCTAAGTTCGATTTCGATTAGTGAATACGAATTTCAAATTTGTGATCATTGAATCAATCATTAACATTCGAGCTTTCGCGAGTATTTATCTACAATTGAGTGCTACCCTACGAAAAATTTGTCGATTTCTTATACTACACGATTGAAACAAAATTCATTATATCTACCGAAAATCTACTTAATTATTCCAAAAAATTTCTTACTTAGATGTCGTAATTTTAATTAATTAAATATACAATTGAAATTTCCACCCATTACTGAATCTAATTAACAAAATAAAACTTCTTATCGATTTAATGAAATTCGGCAGGCAATTTTGTTCATAGAACCTTTAAAAAAAAACATTTCCTTCAATTTGCATGCTTTTTTAGAAAGAATGTCGTAATTTAGTTACATTTCCGTCATTCCCGCAAACATTTTTTTTTCAATTCTGAGACAGTATTTCGACTATTATCCCATCATGAGATTGTCTTGGAAACATGAAATTTTTATCAACAATCTTATTGCTTAATAAAACTTGTAGTGATTGATGTGAATTCGCACATCAAATATATTCAGTATTTTAATACTCGGTTATCATAATTTTGGTACTCAATAATTAATAGGAGTATTTACAGAGTTCATTCATTGAATAGTTCATATATAAATGACTGTTATTTTTTGCACTTGACAAGCGTTATTTGAACAGCGAAAATTATTCCAGAAATTCAAAAAAATGTATATATAATTAAATTTTAATTGTAATTTTAAGGAAATAGATGCTCTGCTAATCTGTTCATGATAATTTTTCAACGCTGAAAAATCACATTTGATCGAATCATGCTCAGGAATGCCAATTTATTTGGATTGACACAATATTTTATATAATTCGTATTGATGAATTCTATAAGATTTTAACATTTTCATTTCTCATTAAACCCTTGATTATTTGCTAGAGCAATTTTATTAAATACCATATCATTCACTCATGAGACAAAAATTTTTGGCTAGCTATCCTATTTATTCCTCTAATAAGTTCTAAATTAGCAGGGAAAAGTTAAATTTCGAGGAAATTGCGAGCTAATTTTGAATACATGACTGCCACGATAAAATGAAATTTGAAGTAAACAGTAAATCTTTGTACAAAATGAACCTCAAATAAATCTTTATAACCCGAAATAAATTATACTGGCCTACTGTAAATTATGATCGGCCCCGATGCATTTTTAGAGTGGAGGATATTTCTACGCTATAGTGAAATTTCAACGATAAAAAAAAAGATTGAAAAATATTATACCAAATTCTTTGCCCCATATTTTTAAGTTTTAAAGTTACCTTTACCTTTTAAAGTTACCGTTTGTAAAGTTCAGTGAACTTTACAAACGCCTTATGTTCCCTATGAATTTATTTCTAAGCAGCTAGTACTCTTTTTAGCATTTCCCAACCATATTGCATGAATAAAAGGCTATTAATTTGTTTTAAGTTCTGATTGGAATGTAACAAACATTTCTACTAAATAAATAATCTAATGAAAGGGAGCACACTTCAAACGTGCAGAAAGACATTAATAGCGTCACAAAATAGCTAAAAATAATAATAATGTTGAAAAACTCACCCGATATAAATGTTCCATCCTCGTCATCGTCGTGGCGTTCAGACGATGAATCGTCTCTCAGATCCTGCATCATGAGCTCGTCGTCCGAGTGGCGGCCGGTAAACTTGTGAGGATCTAAAATGTCCAGCACTGAAAATGGGGTTGTAATTCGCGAGTCTGTGTTAGCATCGTTCGGAACTTTCTCCTCGCATTTATCGTCATTTTGTTTACTCGTACCATTTCGTGATGATGCACTTCTGGCGTTTGCACTTTTTGAGTTTTTAGCTTTGCAAGATTCTTTCGTCGTCTCCGTTTCCGTTGTAGCTCCATCGTTTTTTGAGGACTGCTGGTCATCGTCAACGGAATGACGAGAAGCCGGCGACAATCGGCCGTCTTTTGTATCTTCCTCTTCTTCGTCTTCAGTCTTGATTGATCTTGTTGGCGATCTTCGGATTCGCAGAGATGGAGAAGAAGGCAAGGACCGAGAGCTGGTGACGTTTTTAGAATGGCCGCTATTCTTCTTGCTGCGAGGTTCATTTCTAATTTTATCAGTTAAATGATGTTGGAGCTGTTGCTGATGTTGTTGCTGTTGGCGGTGGTGCAATAGACTATTTGCCAGGAACTGTTGTAAATTAGCTTGATGATTAGCGTGGTGAAAGGTACGGTGCTGGAGATTATGCAGTTGTGCAACAGCTGCTGCGTGCTGGAAGTCAGCGTGATTGCGGGGGTTGGGCGATTGATATTGTAATGAATTGTGCATGTGATGTTCTGGAATAGGATGAAGCACAGTAGGTGCTCTTAAAGGGTTCTGAACGTGTTGGAACAATGCCGGTGGAATTAACGAAGAAGTTGGCTGTAGGGAAAATTCGGGATACCCATCAGTCGACTCTGGATTCGGTGACCTAATTCGTCCAGGCGACACTGGGAAAAGCGGAGACGTGGCATCTGGGGGGTTGGTTTCCATTTTTAAAAGAGGAGGGGAAAAACTTTGATTGCAATCTCGAATATTATCATTGAACTCTCCGCATTCGAAATCATTGTTCGTCTGGGGCTCAGACTTGGCTCCTTCAACTCTGGGAGTTTTACACGTGCGTGTGGGAGAGTAAGGAGTCGGTCGTTTATTGCTTGGCACATCCGCTTCTACTTCTTCATTCTCGTCTGAATTTTTCATGGCCGAGGCCGTGCAGCCTTCCTCCTCCTTCATTATTGTATTTTCAGTCAAGTATTGTTAAACACGTTCACGAGTGTTTGGAAACGATGAACTTATCTCGGACTAAACAAGGTTCCAATCTTGGTCTCTCAGATCGCGAGTCTTACCGTGACGTTGCACCGCCGCGGGCACAAGCGACACTCGAAAGCTTTGTCAGGAAAGAGCGCAAGTTTCCTCAGCACTGCTGCTGTTGTGGTAGCGCGCGTTTAACTGACGTGAACTGCTTCCCTCAGACCCATCTCGTGCTTTTACCCTCACTTCTCGGCAGCACAATCTATTATCCCCTCAAGCCACTGTTTGTAACAAGCCTCATCATTGGCTGAATGTTTTCACTCAATTTACTAGAGTGGCATGGCATTGGGGAAATAGAGTTTTAAGAGGGACCGTTAACTGCCGAGGGCGGAGTCTGAAGTTTCCCTCGAAAAGACTGGCTGGCGAACGATTTAAGGCGGGAGATGTGAGTGACCTGGGGTGGAGTTGAGTCAATTGGAAAAGCAAGCTCGTGGTAATGCAATTGTCGGCGCAGGAGGAGTTTGTCGACGTTAAGTAGCGGCAAGGGAGGAGCTTCCGTCGGGTCCCGTGGGACGACTCGAAGCCACGACACAAATTGACCGCGGCGTCTAAAAGTTGCCGCTAACAAGGGAATTGGTCCAATATGGCTGCCGCGTAGTTAACACTGGCAATTACGACACTAAGGGGTGACATGGGATACCGATGCCCCACCCTGCAGCCGCTTGCTGCCTTTCTGTTGTTCTGGCGACATTGGACCGCAGTGCAGTTTGTGCTGTAGTTCTATTGCTCTCGGAGGGAGGCAAGGCGACGCCTCTTGACAGCCACGAGGGAGCTCTCACAAGACTACTTCATTCCAGCAGAAAATAGTGTCACTGGTTATGTGATGCCCTTGTCATCAGCCGCTTGATTTATGGACTGCGACTTACACTTTTGTGGGTTCTCTCCATTCCGTGGCCCCGTTCCGGTCCATTTCATTGCAATTCGTTTTTATCCCATGACAAGTAATGAGACGCTCTAGGTTTTGAGCGCACAGGGGCTATTCCTTAGCTTTTTTGATGAGAGGTGGAATATATAAGTTAACATAGCATCGGGCTCTATTTCAAGCAATACAATAAAATATATGGCTTGACTGAATCCTATTTATTGACACCCCTGTACTATTTGCTGCCGCAAGGAAGTACAAATTCGTATGATTACAATGCTCGCTATTCCATTTCAAACGCAAATTCATTTTAGCAAATAATTAACGAAACTTGCATTTCGGCCTTCTTCCAATTGAGATCAATGCTTAAAAACTTACATGTTGTCTATGAGTCTGTTCTATCTCTTAAAATTTATATAAAAAATCAGCAAATTACTTCTTCACTGACAATAGTTCCACCGATTAAAATCCATGCTCTTAATATCGCGCGATGATCATAGGAGGACATTCTGCGCCCGCTAATTAAAGTCTCAAGTCTAGAGTCCTTATGCAAAAATAAAAGATTCAAGTGAGTCTCTTGTGCACAGAACCGCCATTCCGAGCTGGTTTCAATTCCACACCAAGTCTTAACCGCGAAGATTTTACACTCGTCAGAGTCTCGCTGCTCTCGCTGAGTTTATTATGCAGATTGCGTCATTAAAGCGGTGGTTAGGAGGCTTGATCCTCGCAGTCACGCTCCTTATATTAACAGGCGCAATTGCGGCCCTCGTTATACCAGAGACACGGCAGCCTATAGGACGTGACAGCAGGTCGGTAGTACGCAGGGTAACATCATCACTGTTGAATAATATAATATAACAAAATATAATATAATAAATAATTATGATTAAATATAACAAAATATAATATAATATGATATAATATAATATAATATGACCACAATTAGGTGATTAAATGTGGATTTAAATCACGTGAGAAGAGATGTGCACTTCATACTCGAGACAGCATGGATTAAATATAAATATTTTTTTATTTAATCTTCATGCAAATGTTTCCCGCTTTAACATATTCTAAATTCTGTTTGACATCTCACATTCTGGTAGACACATATTTAATAGTATGAAATTAAACGCATTAATGGGTTGAAGGTATAAGAATTCAAATGGACTGAACATTCTTCACACGGTAAATATCGCAAGGGACGATCAGTTTAAAGACCGCGTGGTCCAACACGTGTTACTTCCCATGACTTGAACAGAAAATCTTCAGGAGGTCTTTATGTGCCGCGATTTGTAGCATAATAGACTGTGGCTGGGCCTTAAGAGAGGCTCCTGAAAAGGTCTATCTCATACAAAGCATTTGATGTCGCGATTTCAGCCTATTTAGGCTCCGCGAACCCTGCTGTCAGTCCGCGTTAACCCATTCAATTTAACTGAGGTTTCGAACCAACTGGTGAGATGAAAATTCGATCCCAGAAAACACGAAATGATAATTAATGCATGCTGATGACTCCTTCATTTGAAACTGAGAAATTAATTAGAGAAGCTTTGTGGGGCTATACGTGTCATACATGAGTCACATAAATGTATGTATTGCAAATGTTTCTCATATTGGTAATGTAAAAAAAGTTTCAAAATCTTATTTGATTCGCGAAATTATGTCGGCTGACCGGTTCTTTTGTTAATGGTTCATTTATAAAAGGTGTTTTTATATTAACAACGACCGATTATTATTAATAAGTATAACAAATGCAGCCGTCCAAATACTTCTGTACATATAAGGCACTTATAGTGCCGACACATATTCTTCGTGTGCTGGACATTCGGAAACTAATCACAATCGACGATATGATTGGGAAATTGTATCATTGTTCGAGCTGATATATGACGGCACGCTCGATCGAGAGGCGCGCGTTATCTTAATTGTTCCTTAAATTAAAAGATTTTTACACGTGAAACTCGATGATGTTCTGAATTAAGTCATATAAGCTCAAAGTTGTTATTTTATTTCATTATTAAAAATATTGTTCATGAACTATATATACTTAATCATTAGTTTTTCATATCATTAGTTTTTTCAGCAATTTTGTCCCATAGAGGTTATTTGGATGAGCCATGGCATCGATGCAAACTGCTATTAACACAAACATTAATTTCTAACCATCGATCGTGCTTAAATAATTTCGATCCATCCCAAAAATTTTGAAAATGAATCTACAATTTCAGTTATTTTCCTAGACCCAAGTCATTAAATCCTTTTTACCTTCCAGCTATAAACGTTGGATTACAGATCAACTCTCCATTGCATCAATTCTATTTCCTAATTATGCATACTTAAAGTTATAATTGAACCACTAGCCTCTATATAATACGTCTAATATGTAGATATAGAAAATAAAAAAAATAGGAATGAAACAATAATTTTTATTATATTTGTTACCCACTGTAAATCATCCATCGCAAAACAGTCAAGAGGATGAGAAACGCGCATAATTTAAGGATAAATTTATGCTCTGAAACAGTGGTATAAATGAAGCGTATAAATGATCGGGCTACATATAGACGCTACAGCTGCTGCCGCCGCTGCTCGATCTCGAACGCGTCGCTATAATGACTGTCTTTTGTGTCGTTCATATAACGCGCAAGATCCGCTCGACTTCAATTTTCCTGCCTATTTGGAGTTACTCAGCTCGAAAAATGGTCCAAATTTAAATGCAAAATCCCATCAGATAATAGCAGGTCGAACGCTCCCGGAGTGAGAAGCAATTTTACGGTGGTGGCCACGAGCGCCCAAGTGGGAGGCGGGGAAGAGGGGGACGGGGAGGAGTGTGGAGAGGGATAAGGTTCATGAAGAAGTGAGTGAGGGGAAGAGGGAGTGGCAAGAGGAAGGAAAGAGGGAAGAAGAGGACGGGGAAGAGTGTGGGAATTATAAGGTTCATGAAGAAGTGAGTGAGGGGAAGAGGGAATGGTGGAAGGAAGGAAAAAGGGAAGAAGCGGACTGGGGGACTGCGGGGAAGGATAAGGTTCAGGGAAAAGTGAGTGAGGGGAAGAGGGAATGGTAGAAGGAAAGAGGGGAAGAAGTGGTTGAGGAGGACTGTAAAGAGGAACAGGGTTCATATGGAGAAGTGATCGAGTGAGGGAGAGAGGGAATGGTAGAAAGAAAGAAAGTGAGGAAGAGGCAGTCCTTATGGACTGTGGGGATGTATATGGTTCGCAGAGATGTTAGTGAGGCGAATACGAGATAACGAATGGAGAAGATATGGATGAAAAAAATGAAATGGAAGAAACTGGAGGAGAGCGTAATTAAGGAAGGAGTGACGATGAAAATAAGTAAGGAAGAAGGTGATGAAAACTTGTGTTATCCTGATGGAGAAAAGAACCAAGTCCCAACGAGTGATAAGGATTTTACTTAGAAGAAGGGATCATGTGAATGATGTAATAGTAGTCGGATATAGAAAGGAACACATCAAAGAGATTAATATGCGCAAATATTAATTTTACCTATTATGAACGACAACTTTTACAAGAATTGAAATACGATGATGAATGGAGGAAGTGAGAACACCCCGCGACGAAATTTCGATGACAGTACGTGTGACTTACTGGGAACACCATATAACCCTCAAAAAATTGTAGGAATAAAGTGGAAAATACTGAATATTGAATTTATAAAAATATACTTGTACTTCACTATTAGCTAGCTATTAGACAATAGCTAGCAGAATTTACTAATTACGGAAAGAAAATATGAAATTAGATTAAAGGTGGCAAAAAAAGAGTACGCTAAATAATGAGAAGGAGGGAAGAGAATATATATGGTAATGGAGAAAATAGAAAAGTGAAAGGTGAGGTGATCCGGTTAAGGGAAAGGAGCGATGTAAGAGGCCACGAAAGTTATAGTGTCTCGGGAGCCATGGCCTGCGTTACATCTTCGAGGCGCAGTTTACTATACGCTACACGATGAGGCTCTGGGCATCTACTGTGCAATCGTCCTATCCTATTGAAGTTTTCAGTTGAAAATTTCAAAATAAAAACAAAATTTCCTCACCAAATTTTGAAATGATCTTTCAACACACTTTTTTCATTTTTTTTTAAACCTGCAGCTTTGAATGTGGAATAGTCGATAGCTCAAATCTGGCGCGATGGCTTCCTTCGGTGTTCTGGACACTCAGTGTCGAGTCGCCAGAAGCTCAATGCTGAGATAACGTTCATTCTGGATAATGTGATCTCTTTAAGATGGCAATCGCTTCACTTGCATCAAAAAATATGGACGAAATATTTTTCTTGTCAAAAACAAGAAACATGAAACAAACAAGTTCGAGCGTACCGCATATGAATTGCTGCCACCAACTACACTTCTGACATCAATTTTATTATTTGTCTTCATCCACCGATGTGTAATGGCACGGCATAACGTAATGCTTGGCGAGACAGGTCACAAATCAGCGTGAAATTATTTCAATCTCCTTGGAGAAAAAATACGGAAATATAAAAAAAACGACAGGCCTCGAAAAATATAAGAACAATTACGTGTGGGGGTGAAGCATTGCTAATTTAAGTAAGTTAGCGTAAAGTCCACAACAAAAATTGATCAGAATGTCAGTATCGGTAATTCAGCGACGTTTTAACGCGTCTGACACTTGTATCGACGCAATGTCGACGCGATGGCATCGCAGAATTTTAAGCTCCCCCTCGGCTTGGCCGCGACACCTGAGCTTCTTCCCACGCAGACACTTTTTGATTCTCGCCTTCACTTCCCGCCACCTCCGCCACTTTCCGCCACCTTCGCCGCTTCCCTCCACCTCCGCCACTTTCCGCCTTCTTGCCACTTTCCACCTTCCCGATACTTTCCGCCACATCTCCTTCCATCACTTCATGTAAATGATAAATCTCCACAACATCTCCTCTTCAACCTCTCGTATCTAGTAGTATATCTTGTCGTAGAGTCTTCTGAAAGCTCACAAGACTCTAAACGTCAGTAAATCTTTCTATCCTGCATGTGTACCTCCTCCCTCGACAGTAAAGCGAACAGCAATATTCTCATCACTAACCAATGAAACACACGATGACATTCTTCATTTTTTAGTTAAATCCACATGACGTACTTTCATTACTCTATCACCGCCGTGCGCTGCCAATACAAGCAATTTTTGGTTGATTATCGTTGATGTCTTGTCAGTAGTCAAATATTCCCTTTAATAGAAACTTGAGGTTAATGGTTTTCAAATCGCCATCGAAATTAATTAGCGCCATCAGTCCCATATGAAATTATACGGTTTACTTCTAATGATGATTCAAAAATTCATCCTAATTGCCGATGAATGACCCTTGATCAGTTGTCACCAATAGAAAACTAAATAAAACTAAATGTTACCTGCCTGATAAGGACTCCTAATATCGCGAGATTTCAACGTTGAAAATCTTGCCAAAAAATTTCCGGCGACTTACACTGAGAGGCTTCCAATTAAGGCCTCATTTTCTTCGCTTAATCTGCGAGGACTGGGGAGGGGTTACGGAGCCTCGCAGAGGGTTGGATGATGGGTGCCACGGAACAGATGAGCGAGGCGGTGGATGATGCGGAACAGAAATTTGGGGTGAAGAGAAGTTTTGTGGGTGAATTATCTTTTGAAGATAATTGTCCATTTTGGTTCAATTCTAACAAATATACATTCATGAAAGTAACGGAAGAAAGGGACGTAAAGAGATGGTAAATATACAAATGAGAGACAAGAGACGAAAAGGAAGTAGAGGGAGAAAAAAACGGAGAAGAAAGGGAGAGAAGGAAACGTTGGAGAAAAAATGCGAGAGAAGAAAAAATAGGAGAAGAAAGAGCGAGAGATATGATAACGACGCCGTCTCAGGTAATCCCCAGGGGCACCTGTCAGCTCATCATCTCGGATTATGCAGCAGCGCCATCATCGACGGAATGGCCTTTAATTTCTCCTATAATCATTACACTGGAATCATCAATTGTACCATCATTGACGGCCTTGCTATCAAATTTTCCTAGAATCATTACAAGGAATCATTAGTAGTTCCATCATTGACAGTCTTGTTTTTTTTAATTTTCATACAATCTTTACATTAGAATCATTGGTTCTGCCATCATCAACCGCTTGTCTTCTATTACTCATAGAATCATTTTGCTGGAATCATTAGTTCTACCGTCATCGACGGTATTGTCACTAAATCCTCCCAAAATCATTACGCTAGCATCATTAGTTGCACCAGCAACGACAGCTTTGCCTTTAATTTCTCTTAGAATCATTACACTGGTATCACTATACGAGCCATAGACAATTGTTAGACAATATGAATCATTTGTACCATCATATAAATGAAAGCCTGTTAATTAAATCAAATTTTATATTCATTAAATAATTATTATTATAATATTAAAGTAATTAGTAAGGAATATTTCAATTAACTTTAAATATTCCCACGATTAGGAAATTAATTAAGCGTAAGCATGAAATAAACAGCGAGCACATCAGCTGCTGAGCCGTCGGTCCCGGGAGCCGAGTTAGCGCAGCGCTAAGCCGCTAATGCCGGCGCGCTATTAGCTACCAATTAAGGCATTAGTGTAGCGCTCCCGCCACCTGCGCCCGCTACACGATATGCTTTTTCTAGTGCTGATTTTTTTTGTTTTCTTCCTATATATTCCAGTTTTTTTAACGTCGGGATTCTTTTTCTGTTTTTTTTTCTGTCTTCAGATATAGAGCGTCGCTCTTAAATTTTCTAATGAAACAGTTGTTCATTTTCATTTTTTAAGTTTATTCAATTTATTGTTTTCACCTCAGATTTTCTTTTGATTTGATACTCTTAACTCAGTTTTAACTTGTATTCAACATACAGCTAGGGTGATTCGCGGAAACTTCCATTTTTGTACATGGCGTCAAGCAGCCAGGCGCTAGACTAAATAAGCGGGAAGAGTTTCATATATAAGGCAAAGTCCCGAAGTTTTGTGGTTCGCTTAGTCAGTTTCTACGATGCAGTTGACAAGTAAGCAGCGTGTGTTTGATGTCGAGGCGTACTTTTCTAATGGCCATTCCATTATGGCTACTCAACGAGCATTATGTACTCGGATCCGTATTCGTCCTTCAGGTCGTGTTCCTGATCGGAAATCGATTGTTTCGTGGGTGAACACATTTCGGGCAAGTGGAAGTGTGAATTCAAGAGCGGAGGTCAGCGGACTGCCACAACAGTCGGAAACGTAGAGAGAGTTTGAGGGAACAGCGCGATGCTCAATGTATCTTCTGAGTCAACATTTTGCAGAGCGCTTCATTTCCTTGGAGGGTGACCTTCTTTTCCCGGCCCAAATTGGGTTATCTCCATGTTATTATTTTTATGGGGTTATCTTAAATCAATTGTATACAATGACTGTCCAAGGACCCTACCTCATTTGAAGAACAGCATACGCCAAGCCATCGCCAGCATGCCCGTCAATATGTTTCAGCGAGTTGAACGAAACTTCAAAATTCGACTAAATGAATGCATTGACACTGGGGGCCATCATATGTCCGATGCCATTTTTAAAATTGAATTATACAAAAATTCAGGCAAAGTCTTTCTCAATTAATGTATATCGTAATGATATCTCTACCAGTTCTTTTTCAATTTATTTTTCAAATCAGAAAGTTTCCTTGAATCACCCTGTAGTAAGAGAATGATAAAATGAAATATTCAAACATTCAATGCTCTGTGCTACATTGTGAATTCATTCACAAACATCTACTTGAAGCTTAACATTTAAAGTTGTTCGTTCCGGAAACGCGTGACCACACATTGGTGCGGACACGAGTCGCTAAATACCACCTGTGGACACTGAAGTGTAAAGCGATCTGTTGTAGTGGCCGCTACAGCGGATGTGAACGCAACGCTGGCCGCGTGAAGTATGGCTTACACGTGCATAACGTAGTGCCCCTTCAGTGGCTTGCAAACCCTGCTGGTTCACTTGCGGTGCGCGCGTTAAATAAGATGCAAGGCCGCGTGCCCCTTCGATGGCTTGCGAACCCTGCTGGTTCACTTGCGGTGCACGTGTTAAATAAGATACAAGGTCGCGTGCCCCTTCGATGGCTTGCGAACCCTGCTGGTTCATTTCGGTGCACGTGTTAAATAAGATACAAGTCCTCTTGCCTTATGAACACAGGAATGAAGCATGGAACAAAAGTAAAATGATCAATAATAAATGAACCTTCGTAGATCCTTCAGGTAATTCAGTGTTTAGGAATCGCGAGTCTCGGAACAGAGCTCGCGGGTCACTCATCACTTACTGAGATCACGACTCACAGGCGTACAATACGGCCAGTATGCCGACATTACTCAATCTCTGTTCAAAATATGGATCTCCTAGCTTCACACATTCGGACCTCCATAAGATTTAAGCTCATCATGAAACGTACTGTAAACAAAAAGTTTACCGATTTTCAGTCACATGTGCATATACGTCAATATACTTTATTCAGAGATCAATGTCAAGAAATAGTATCATGTTTGAATGTTTTTCACAAGATCTTGTACTTGAGCTCAAATTTAACTTTACCTGCATGAAAATATCACCAAACTTTGGTTCAGGTGACTTTGATTAGTCACGTAATGAGCCTTTTTTAATAAATTTATGTGATAATTCTTGTTGAGCTGCGGTATTTCTCCCATTAATGCTTCTTGTATGGCATTCATTCGGTAGTTTCGAAACATTGACCGGGTGATGCGCACATTATTGCATTATTGCGTGTTATCAGTAAATTTGTATAGGATCTTGCCTAATTTGCAGCTAATTACGAGTATAAACTTTATAGAACAGTATGAAACTAAATGAATTATAAGACAATGTATTCAATTACATTGAAGTGAATCTCGAATCCGACTTTTCGATCATCATTAAACGTACGATCAATTCATCACCTACGACACGTACGATTATCGCAGCACTTACGACCTTATTTTAAGCAAAACAATTGTTGTATGCAGTCCCATTCGACTTCTTGATTACCGCAAAGACTCTCACTGTATACCATATGCCTGCACTAACACTCAGAAAAATGAGTGAGACATTTTCCGAGCAGCAATGCACTTTTTGTCCTTGCGGGAGCGCCATTCCTGCGCTATTTAGCGCGGAATTTACGTCTGTTCTCTGCTCTTGCTTTGGATGATGAAGTGTGTCACGATTTCATTGAAGTGTGTCAGTATTGAGGTCTTTCAGGAAATATGTCACTATGTGGGTCTTTTAGTTAGTATGTCACTATTTGGACAATATAGCCCATTAATTTCTGCCAGTTATGTACATTTAACTGGCGTGGTGGAAGGTTCAGCCGTTACGACAGGGTGCGCCGGGAGGCTTATTAGCTTCTTGGCACCTCGTTAAGCGCGGCTGTACTCAGCCTCATAAATTCAACATAGCGAGCGGCCTGAGGTTTCGTGAGGGCCACATGTGTGGAAATGGCCACATTGCTCACACGTATTGTGAACAATACATCGTATTTATTACAAGTTATTACGGGTAAATCATATGTTAAGCGTTATCATTAAAAACATTATACTCAGTGAAGGTGCTGTTAGTGTATATTTTCAGACAACAGAACAAAATATTATTAATAATTTTAAATAATTTACATAATGATAGCTCGTTAACGTTCGATAATTTCTGTGTAAAAGATTTTCCATCGTATTTGATTATTTACGTTTGTCTTTTATAAGAAAGTTCAACAAGCAGCAAATTTCGTTCTTTCATTTGCAGTTCGCTGATGATTATCTTTTTGCTCCCTTCATCGTATCTTTTTACTTCTTGCTTATCTCTGCCTTCTGCTACTTGCACATTTACTTGAAACTTTAAAAACAAAGTTTTTAAACTTTATTTAAAAACAAAGTTTTGAAACAAAAACAAAACAAACACGATTTTTTTAAAACTTTTTTTCAGTTTAATTAATACTGATATTGAATTTTCATATACTCAAGTCCCAATCTGAGTTCATATACTTGTTATTACTTCCTGTATGACGCCATCCATCCCCTCTATAAACCCCCTCTTACCTTGACTGATTTGAGGCGGCCATTCATCACCAATAAACTCGGACGGTGATGGCTGCGACAGGATCGCTTTGGACGTCAATCTGCCGCCCAGCCAAGTTTAGGGCTGCATTTTAGGCTAGAATTGGCGAATTAAAGTCCAGAACGTCCAACTACGTGCCGAAAAAAGCCACTAGGCTGCCTTTGAACGCTTCAGCCTAACTCATCAAAGGGGATATCCTGTAAATCTCCGTACAGTAAAAATTTAACGCGATCGATGACTTCTAAATGAAAGAGCCATGAATGTATAAAATTTATTCAAGTGGAAAATTTAAGTGCATAGATTGTCTCGTTGTAGGTACTCTTGATGCTGTGATATTTCATGCATTACCCTGAGATTGTGTGAGTCATGACAGGTCAAATACTGTTATTACTAAATAAAATTTCCACATTAACTAATGTTAGTTATCGTCTTAAAAAATAATTCAATGAATTATGTGCCTGGCGTAAATATTCTATGAATTAGTAAACAAAATTCAGTTAAGTTAATTACATGGAAGAATCTCTTGATTCTCGCATGTTTATTCGCGAATGAGTTAGAATAATTTGTGACAATTCTAAACCGGATTTCTGTAATTCATTGAGAATACAAGTTTACTGAAAAGCAATGCGCCTGAAATGGATTGTTAATTTAATCACGTGCAGTTACCTAATTCATTACTAAATACTATATCGTGTTTATCTTTTTCAATCGGAAAAATTATCACATTTCCTTTGCTAGGGATCTCGGTAGAAGACATCTTTTCTAAATATTCTGATCAACTATTGATTAGAAGACCAGGACTGTAGCTGATCAATGAACATCCGGTGTTTCTCGCTGGCTTAAAACAATTAATAATATTGTCAATTTTAACAAAAACTTATTTGTACCTGTTATATCTGTTAGCACATACAAGAATAATTCATATAAATGCTTAAAGGTTTGACTAAACATCAGAGCGCAGGTTGTATTAACAATTTTATAAAACACTATGAAAAATATAGAATATGAAAACTCATTCTCTGGTCTTCAATCGAACTGATATAATAAAAAAATTTGCCATTCATTCAATAGTAATTAATTCGTATTGGCACAGTGCATGCAATTTAAAATCTTCATATACTAGCCGTTCGTAATCGTCGATCGCATTCTTTTAATTTAAATTCATGAAGATAATTGAAACATGTCAATGTTCATGCCTTATTTTGTGAACCCAGCCTTGGCGTTTTACGATCGTGACCTGATCCGTTTTTGGTGTCCATAGAAGCGGAGCTAAGAGCAGCCCTGATCCCGGGGCTACAAAAGTAATCGACTCGCCGAAGTTTATCGATTCCTAAATTCGAGCGTAAGATTGCAGTTATTTGAAGCGCCAATAAAACTGCTTTGTTCGCTTCGCTCTTGGAGATTTCGAAGCTTTGAGGCATCGGTAAGATGGGGCAAGCAGGAACACATATTTTTTAGTATTATTAGAAAAGATTTTTAGGAGGAATTTTATATATACTAACAATTTTTTTTATAATACTCGAGAATATAATTGACGCATGCTTCATTTCAGGGGATCGTCTAGGTCCAGGAAAAACTTCTACATTTATTAACCAATCTTCCTGAAATTTCACACACATACGAAACTTGTAAAATAAAAAATAATTTGCTTGTATGAATTTTTTGGAAAAATGGAAAAAACGAGAAATTAATCGAAAACGTCAAAATAGGGGGTACTCTAAAAAAGTTTCCAACTTTAGCAAATCACAAGCTACGATGTCGAGACACATATCATTCGATTTGTAACAACATTATCTAGCGACTCTAGTGGCCCGATTTTTTATTTTCCTCGTCGCTTTTCTTTTATGTGCGTTTTTCTCAATTTTTACACATTTTCCCCCCTTCCCCCACCCCTCCCATATATATAAGTCAAATCATGCTCGAATTCGAAAAAAGGGCTTCTAGAGTGGCTAGGTATGGTCCTTGCAAATCGAATGGTATGTCTTTTATTACTGTAGCTTAAAAATTGTTGGAGTTATATTTTTAAGATGCGTTTTTTTGGATTTTTAAAATTTTTCAAGGAAGCCAATTGAAGTAAAATTAATTGAAAAAAGAATAATATGTCAAAAAATTTCTTGATATTGTAGCCCAAGCTTTTCCATTGCCATTTATTTGCTTTTAGGGTAACAGCGCGCGTCTTTAGACTTATTCATGTCCAGTTTAACGTGAATAACAAGCTATAAATGGGACTTTTTATGTATATATACATATATAAAATATTCATTTTGCAAAACTTTACAACAGCATTACGCAAAAACTATTGCATTTACACACATGGTAGTAGCTTTGTTGAACGCATCTTGTTTGTAGCTTTCAAACGAGTGCAAACACTTTGCAATTAACGCGAATAATGATCTATAAATACTATTTTTAAATGAAAAATTTGTAAATATTTATATAAAATGGTCATTTTATAAAAGTTCGAAACAGCCTTGCGCCAAATCTTTTGCACGTACATCCCTAGTAGTGTTATTGTTGAACGCGCCTTGTTTGTAGATGTCAAACGAGTGCAAACACTTTGCAATTAACAAGCATATGTGATCAATAAATTAAGATTAAATTTGAAGAAATTTTTGTACATATTGTTAAAAAATGTTCATTTTATATATTTTAAAAAATTCTAGAAAAAAAAACTAGAGCACGCACATGCATCCGGATTGCTGCGTTAGACGCGACTTTTCAGCAGCTACAAAATGAGCCAATAAACGGAAAAACCAAAATTTTCGATTTTGACCCAGACGATCCCCTTAAATAATTTTACTGACATGCATATTAGAATACAATACCTACTAGATTCATACTTATTATTGAACAGCTATTAATCACTTTTCCCATTAAAAAGAAGTTATCCATGAATTTTTCCGTAAGTAAAATCAGATACTTCGAGTTTCGTCAAATATAATGGAGCTGCAATAAACCGCTGGAGTGATATACCTGTAGTTTAAGCGTGCAGTTATAATAACTTTCATAAATATCAAAATTAATAAATTATAAATGAAATATCAATTAATTTGATGAATTAGTAGAACACACAAAGAGCTTGTACACAGATATGGCACATCACTTATGTATAAGTTAATCAAGGTTCAGATCGGCTGATCCGTACTGCCAACACAGCGTCTTTTGAGCCGCCACCCACCGCCCTAAAACAACCGGGGACCTCATTGTGGTCTGTGTGTATGGGGGGTGGTGTGTGTGTGTGGTGCTGTGTGTGTGGTGCTGTGTGTGTGGTGCTGTGTGTGTGGTGCTGTGTGTGTGGTGTGTATGTGTGGTGGTGCGCATGTGTGATGGTGCGTATGTGTGGTGTGTATGGGGGGTGGATGTGTATGTGTGGTGGTGTGTGTGTGTGTGTGTGAGGGACGTCGTGTGGGTGGTGTATGTGTGCCGCGTTTGTGCCTACGAAGGCATTTTGTTTATGAGAGATCCATGTATGTGTGGTGCCTTGTGTGTTGTGTGTGTCTGTTTACAGAGTTGGTGTGGGGTGCGGTGTATGTGTGGGCTCATGTGTGTTGTGCGTGTGTGTTAATGAGATTGGTGTATTAGTGGATATTGCAGTCTGCTTACCAAGCACCCCTACACCCCTGCCAACACCCGGGACCCCTACACCCCAGCCAACACCCAGCACCCCTACACCCCTGCCAACACCCAGCACCTCTACACCCCAGCCAACACCCAGCACCCCTACACCCCTGCCAACACCCTGCACCCCTACGCCCCTGCAAATACCCTGCACCGATACACCCCTGCCAACACCCTGCTCCCATACACCCCTGCAACACCCTGCACCCCTACACCCTGCACCCATACACCCCTGCCAACACCTGCACCCCTACACCCCTGCAAATACCCTGCACCGATACACCCCTGCCAACACCCTGCCCCCCTGCACCCCTGCCAACACCCTGCACCCATACACCCCTGCCAACACCTGCACCCTACACCCCTGCCAACACCCTGCACCCATACACCCCTGCCAACACCCTGCTCCCATACACCCCTGCAACACCCTGCACCCCTACACCTGTCTCTTATACACATCTAGATGTGTATAAGAGACAGCTGTAAATCTCCGTACAGTAAAAATTTAACGCGATCGATGACTTCTAAATGAAAGAGCCATGAATGTATAAAATTTATTCAAGTGGAAAATTTAAGTGCATAGATTGTCTCGTTGTAGGTACTCTTGATGCTGTGATATTTCATGCATTACCCTGAGATTGTGTGAGTCATGACAGGTCAAATACTGTTATTACTAAATAAAATNCAGATGCTCACCCGTCGCCACAGATGCTCACTCGTCACGTCAGATGCTCACCCGTCGCTTCAGATGCTCACCCGTCGCGTCAGATGCTCACTGCGTATCTGAAGCTAAGATTCTCCAATGTCCAGCGAAATTATCAGTGACGTAAGATCGTTCTAATATCGGCTGACATTAAATATTCCGATTAAATACTCCAAGCTTTCACCACATCACTCAAGTATAGTCCCATCCAAGTTAGGTTTTTAAGTCAATGTTTCAGTAAACACGGCACTCATTCATCGTGTTTATCTCTCTGCGATCTGCATGGATCGCACTCGCACATTTTCTTCCAGCAGTAAAACTTGCAGCAGTCCCCTTTCCCAAAAGTGGCGTCCCCTCAACACATCCCCGCCATTCCGACCCCGACAGACTCCACTCATTTGCTATTCATACACTGGCCGCGCGAGCGCCTCATAAAGCTCTGCTAAAGTGGCCTGTAGCGGCCACACCGACTAGCTGGTGGCAGCGAGACTGCAGCGCTGGTTCATAAAGAGGAGATCCTGCGGTCTGCTTACTGACTAGCTGGTAGCGCTGGTTCATAAAGAGGAGATCCTGCGGTCTGCTTACTGACTTGCTGGCAGCGCTGGTTCATATGGTTCATATAGAGGGGATCCTGCGGTCTGCTTACTGACTTGCTGGCAGCGCTGGTTCATATGGTTCATAAAGAGGGGATCTTGTGGTCTGCTTACTGACTTGCTGGCAGCGCTGGTTCATGTGGTTCATAAAGAGTGGATCCTGCGGTCTGTTTACTGACTTGCTGGCAGCGCTGGTTCATAAAGAGGAGATCCTGTGGTCTGCACATACTGACTTGCTGGCAGCGCTGGTTCATAAAGAGGGGTTCCTGCGGTCTGCTTACTGACTTGCTGGCAGCGCTGGTTCATATGGTTCATAAAGAGGGGATCCTGCGGTCTGTTTACTGACTTGCTGGCAGCGCTGGTTCATAAAGAGGAGATCCTGCGGTCTGCACATACTGACTTGCTGGCAGCGCTGGTTCATAAAGAGGGGTTCCTGCGGTCTGCTTACTGACTTGCTGGATAGTGCATCTAGATTTCACCGTTTTATCCACTGTTTTCTTTTTTTTCTTTCTTTATTTTCACACTGTTTTATCACACTGTTTTTTAAATTTTCTTCAAAGTTTTGTCCAGTCAAGCGTTTATATACGAAAGAAATGCGATGATGACCAATTATGTACTCCATACATGAATCCTCGCATGTTAATCTGAAGACAACCCCAAGTACTGTACCGTGCTTGTATATATACCCTCACTTCGTATGCATGCGATCTCCTCAGACTTCATCTGGGACGATACGCACGGAAAAGTAGGGAGATTCTTCCCCTTAACTCCGGCTCGACTAACTGGGTATTATGGTCAATGGCACTCCTGGGAAACGCGACTTCGTTCCGGCGAGTGGAGAGCAGGGATAACTTTATGAAAAAATCGTGATAAAAATGAACGCTAAGAGTTCAGTTTGAGAAGTATTATCTCCGAAGCTTCCTCAAGGTAGGCTGGAATTAACAACAATATCTTCGCTGGTGTGACGTGTAAGGCCTATTTAAATTTTGTTAGTTTTAGGTAAATTAGTTCAAATGCAAATCGTACAATTTGGATACATGAATTATTTGAACATAAAAATATGTAAATATTGGTTTGAAACTCCGCGGACTTTCCTACCTAATGTTATCATTATTTTTTAATGATATTATATCACCAGTGCTGGTTTTCTACTATCAAAATTTTTCCATCCACATGAAATAACAGTAAAAAGAACAACATTTATTCAATTTCAAATAAATATTGATACAAGAGCATCATGATTATTCGTTTTGGATTTAAATCTTTGGTCGAGTAGGAATACAGGAAAGTTGCCTTAAGGAATGATCGTTTAACGAATCTTTAGGAGCAAATACTTGGGAATATTATCATAAAATAAATATATACCTGATTCTAACAATTTACCGCATTTCAGGCAACTGAACTGCTTAGCTGTAGGACAAAATTTGTAATTTATATTAATAACATTTCTTCAGATTTACTCAATGTCCGAGACTTTTACGTTATCACAAATTACATTTTTACACTCGGTCCTGTGTCCTCTCTACACTAGGATCATTAGACTCTTTCACACTAGAATTTAGGTCGCCTTATCATTAGATCCGCATTCTCATCACAAAGGGATCAGGTTCTCCTGCACACTATAGGACCTCGTTCTTTTTAATACTAGGTTATAGTTCTCCTTCACACTAGAACTTAGGTCGCCTTACTTTATAGGATCCTCATTATGTTCACACCAGTTCTTGCGTCTCCCTTATGCTAGAATCTGTGTCCTCTTAAAACTATGGATATGAGTACCTTTCACTTCATGATCAGGATCTCCTTCGCACTAGAATCTAGTCCCCTTTTACTCTAGGAACTGTGTCCCCTTTCATTTTTAGCGCATTTTCTCATTTATGAAAAAAAGGACCTATTGTGCTCGTCATGTTCGTCCACCCGTGACTTCACGGACGGACGGACGTGAGAAAATGCGCTCTCTGTCACTCACTGCAGTGAGTACTGATCTAATTTTTTAAACTAGGCCTGTTTCCCACAAGAATCTAGTCTCCCTTTCCCATAGAATCTTAGGCCAATTTACACTAGGATCTGTTTCCCTCTCACATTAGGATCCAAGTACCTCTCACACTAGGGCCTGTGCCCTCTTCATTTTGTGATCTGGGTCTACTGTACACTAAAATCATGCCCCATACTCAGAGAAATGGGTGAAACTTTAGCAAAATATCGACGCACTTCATGACCTTATTTGGCTCATCCTGATCAAGTTTGCTGATGCGAGAAGGTGCATAATTGCTACGTTCAGAACGTGCGTCACTATTTAGAAAACATCAGTTGAATTTTCTGAGTGGACTCAAAACACTTTCGATGACACATCTCCATACCACTTCCACAAGCAGCATATATCACTTCTTGCAGGATGATCCGATAATCACTCTCTGCACTATCTACACAACAAGGATCATAAGGAGTGCTTTCCACGTACTTCACATTTCCATCCGCACAGTACAGATTATCGTCCAGATCTTTTCCTGTGCATCGCAAATAACCATCTGCGATGAACCTATCACTAAATCATTTTCCGTGCGGCACAAATCATCAGAATCCGTTCCCCGCATATCAGCAAGCAGATCACATCTCTTAGGCTCGCTTCGAGTGGCTTTTGACGACAATTGAATGAGGATTAACGTAACGGCCGCTCGTGACGTGCTAGATCGCTTCTCTGATAGACATACTGGTACGGCACTCTTTATCTCTGCACTCAGGGCCATAAGTGTGACTTTTTCCAAACTGCGAGGCACTTTCTTCCCTCGTGTGTGTCGTCCTGATATATTTAAGCCCGATAAAAAGCGTATTGGTGCTACGTGCAGAAAGTGTGCTTCTATATGGACAGTGTAGCTCATTGTTTTTTCTGAGTGTGCATACAATGGATAAAACTAATTCTAGTGCTTGGAGGATATTCGTATAATCGACGAGGCATTAATTGTTCTCTAGATTTGCCTGATTTATCTATCATGCAGCTTAAATTACTCTAAAAGACAGGCGATATTGACTGCCTGTGACATCGTCGTTTAAGATCAAACTCGTGTAATTTACTCCATGCGCTCCGAAGCCTGCGCACTGAAGAGCAGTCGTAATTTGCATGACGTGTGAGCGAATCAATGTGACTTTGCGATTGGCTTTCCCACGCCCAAATTAGCTGAGCTGATCAGCTTAAGCTGACTTGAGAGCACCTTTGTCATGAGATTGCGCACTTGAATGCAGCGATAGGTTCTCAGCTATGCCGGCAGCTCACTGCTGCAAGTCAAAGTCTGCGTCGAAATAGTCTCGGGCTATGACATCTCTACATGGTTCCAATTTTTATAACATAAATCACTAAAATCAGTAGCATGACACTTTGCTTTCATTTCTGTAGAACAATTAAACTAAGATCAATACCAGAAAATTGTTGAGTAATCATCTAACGAATAAGAAATTTATAATTTTCATCTGACGACAGTTCACACTAAGTTCAAATATTTCCTAGAATAAGAGTCAAATCAATGTGGGCATACAATCAACTATTCAGCAGCTTAAAATAATCCACAAATATTTCGTAATCGTTGTTTATTAGAATAATAATCAAATAAATGTGAACAGACAGTCATCTTTTCAGTAGCTTTATATAATCCTCTGATAAATCGTAATCATTATTTCTTGGAATTATAATCAAATCCATGTGGAAAGACTGTCAACTCTTCAGTAGCTTGATATAATTCTCAGATAATTCGTAATCGTTATTTCTTGGAATCATATCAAATCTATGTGGAAAGACAGTCATTTTTTCAGTAGCTTGATATAATTCTCTGATAATTCGTAATCGTTATTTCTTAGAATTATAATCAAATCTATGTGGAAAGACAGTCAACTCTTCAGTAGCTTGATATAATTCTCAGATAATTCGTAATCGTTTAGAGCCCTCAAGTAGCCAAGGATTGCCTATAAGCGCGGGTGCCGCCACGCGTACGGCAGGTGTCGGCCGCGTGACTCATCAGAGGGCGAAACGCTAAGCTGTTGTTGGAGACACCGGCTTAGTAATTGAGATGAGATCCATACAAACAAACCCAGATTGAAACACCTCCTTCCGCACGACGCGATAAACACGGCGGCCGCTCCAGTCCCCGATCTCTTGCCCAGCAATAAAATAACGGTCTAGTCATGGACGGCATACCGGCGGCTATCGTTGGCCGGCTTGTGATTCGTATGGGTTTGATCTGCTCAAAATCTGTTGCAAATTCTCGTCAGTAACAGCTACCAATTTGTACAGATGTACGCAGGAATTGGTCGAATTTCGAACATATTTTGACAGTTTAATGGGTGAAGCGATGGATACCATTTATTTTAATAGTTTTGATTGATTTTTCAATCAAATAAATAAATATAAAATTTACTTGATCATTATTCTATTTTATATTAGATTAGGTCTACTAATGTTCAAAACATTTTTTGAGGTTTTGTTCAAGCTACTGAATTCAATAAAAATATAAAAAAAGGTTTTATATTGAGTGCATGAATGC